GAAGTATACAAACGGACAAACCACTTAGACAAGTCACTGATGTACATCAAGCATTTTGACGAAACTCTTTGATAGATGACGTCAACTTGAGCCACCCAGACAAGTCACGGTACAAAAGACAAGTCACCAAGGCTCTCGTTGACAGTCTCAAAATGTCGATACACCATTTCTTCAACAAACAAGAAAGTATCTGACCTATCGTATTCGAGGTAAAAAGATACATATGCATATAGGGTCACAAGTAACGTTCGTCTTCCACTCACTCGGTTCCGTGATGTTAAGTCACAGTGATCGACTTCTTTCAAGTAGTTAGTGAGCGCAGGCAGATATAGGTAATCGCGCGTCTTCATAGAGATCACGCCTGTTTCCTTGATTCATTTTGCTCGTCTCGAAGCCAGTCGACAAATGTCGAGTAACGGGGTGATAGCTTCCTATGCGTCAGGAACATGTCCAGTCGTAATTTCACACTGTTAGGATCTCAAAGAACACTAAAAACGCAACTTTTTTCTTGAGGCCTGTTGGATATCCTCTGGCGAACGATAACATGTTCACTATCCCTTTTACGGCAAATCCAAGTAAGAAATAGATAGAAACCTTGGAGATATTGTAGAGAAGATATGGAGAATTTTGAGATCGATGATCATTGAAAAGGGGAATGTTGTACAGAATTGATCGGGAATGTAATACAGACATCGTTGTCTCTTGTTCAAAGCGAATGTACGAGGCCTTTACCCACTTGAGCACACTTGATTGTTTTCATGTATATCACTTGTATCGATGATGATTATGATTTAACTAATCGTGAATTTATTTGATACTTTGATAAAATAACTGGTGTCTTTGCCTACGAAAAACGATGTTACGATCTAATTAAGCGATGATATCTTAACTAAACCACTTATGATATGCATGGTCGACTCTTTAAGGCTGTATTTGTATTCATTTACAAGGTTTAAAACACTGAAGAGAATAGAAAGCAAGTTAAATAGTGGCAAAGGCAAATTTTTTTGGAGTGTAAGAACGCAAGAGAATTTGTTTGTCTGTCCTTTTAACGTGTATCTTCTGTATGCGTTATATACAGATATATATCTGTATCTGTATACAATTCACACGGCAGATGCGTGTGATTGAAGATATCAGGGTTTCGGTTATTCGCAACTTAAACGAAACATGCGCAAAGGAAAACATCTGTTTTGTGCACAAGTCACTTGCTAGAGACCTCAGACAACGATGGAAAGTTTCAAAACTGATTGCAAGATGTTTTCGACGTAAAAATGGGGGAAAATGTTGCGAAATCAGCCTGTCAACTGTCTGAAGTAACGCTGTTTCGAGGCGGTCTCTTTACCCTAAAAGCTGGCAACTTTTGGTCTTTTGGTTCTAGGGCTAAAAAAGTTGATGTGTTGAACGAGAAGTAGAATTTATTGATCGTGCAGTAATCGTTCGTTCTTAATAGGCTGTTTTAAACCATGAAAGTTAGTTTCAAGTATAGCAAGATTTTCTCTGGAAACAGGTTTTATTAAATTGTTATTCATACAAAAGTCGATTAAGGATGAATTTTGTTTTAGTGCAAGAATGAAGCTATTGGAATAAAAATAAGCATTGTGAAAAGACAGTCTAATAACGCATAACGTTTTTGATTGTGAGTCAGCAATTTTTGTTCCCAGATGTTACTATTATCATCTGCTGGAGTGTCCGAGAATAGTGCAACGCGGTAGTCACTTGTCCAAAAACCGACAGAAATCCCAAACATTTGAAGATCTCTTAGGCATTCCGCGGCGTCTCAAACGACGTCTATCTTTCATTTCGCATCCAACTTCATCCAGAAAGGAGCAGAGAGCCAAAAATAGCTGGAGATCTCCGAGAAATTCTCTGAGAGTATTATCAAATTCTCTATGAAGCTTCACGGAATGTATTTGTGTAAATTCCTACTTTCTACCATTTTCGGTCTACTTCTTTTTCTTTAATTTCCTTTTCTCGTTTTATACGTAAAATTACTTAGTTTTCTATTGTTTCTATATTGTGTTTCTTATGTTATGTTCCGCTATTGTTTAAGCTCTTGTGCAAGTATAACTAAATTTTGCACCAATTCAAAACTATTAAAGGTACTCGCAGAAAACGAAAAATTTCAATGAAAACCTAACGTCCTTTCTTTTCATCGGTTGTTCTTTGTGCAACATCCAACTATTGATATATAAAATTTTTCTCTGATGATATCATATAATCGTGCAAGAAAACAAGAGGAACCCAAGCGTAAAAAAAAATCTGGTATCTCCCGATTCATCTAGATTACTAAATTTTTACTCGGTTGCAACTATTGAGTAACGACAGTGGAAATCTAGTAACCGGGCAACTGGTAGATTTTTTCTAGTTGCAACTATCGATTTATCGGCCGATAATCGATCGATTTAACTATTGCTAGTTACACACACAGACACATCTGGTTAAAAGGCCCTTTTCCAGCTAATAATGTAGATGGCAACTAGTCGTGTATATAGACGAAACGTATCTAGATTTTTCGCATAGGTGATGTTTGCTTGGGAACTTACAGACTGCAAAATTAATTGATCGGTAGAATCCTTTGTACAAAGTCTGAGTGATATCGTTGCATACTTTTTAAGCACTTACTGCTCTTTTTTCATCCGGTTGATTCAACCATTCGACCAAGTCTGGTGGGAATTTTAATTTGCAAACTTCGTCGTACTCTTTCTTTTGTTCGGCGCTCAATTCAGTGGCCCATCATCCAGTTTTGCCTTGGTGAATAAAGGACCCGACTGGCACTACAGGTGGAGTAAACAAGTCTTCATGTTTCTTCATATATTTGAATGTGCAATGATTATTCGAATGTGCATCTACTTGCGTCTTATGTGATCACTCTTTATATCCTCGTCGCAAGTAGACGTATGTGCACAAAACGTTTGATGGCTTGGTTGTGCCATTGCCATGATAGAGAAAAGCTTCAAGTTATCGGACACGCCTGATCGGTTATTCGATTAGCTATCTGAAACTAAGAGTTTTTTTAATATTTTTCTTCGTTCTCCTCACTATAATAACCGGCTTTCTTTTCTCATAGGGAGGAGGATTGATGCAAAAAAAAATAAATGCTGTTTATAAATACGCTTTCTTCCTCAATATCTATTGCTTATAGTGAAGAATTGGAACGATTAACTAAACTCATCTTATTCCATTTGAACAAACGTTGCATTGCTTTCTAGTATATAAGCTTATTGCTAGTAACTGCTATCTTTAACAACATTTCTACTCAAACACTGTTATACAGCAGTCAATTTACTATTTCGCCTACCTCCAGTTCCAAAAATACAATGTCTTCTGCTAACCCAACCAGCGTCGGCGATAATAAATTAAATTCTCATGTTGTTGATGCTGCTAGAAACTATTCGCAAGTCACTCAGTCGCGCTGTGTAGCTAGTATACAGTGAGTCTGGCTAAAACAAACACAGACAGCGACTGATCACCTGAATTTTGCATAGGGAATGATCATTATAGTTTAAGTATTTTTCATAGTTCTCATTCAAAAGAGGAAACGCAAGAAGAATATCGAGCAGTTTTAACTGACCTACCTGAGCGAACAATTAAGCATTTCTCTGATCCATCTCAACATATGGATAGTTCAGTTTGGGATGATTTCATCTATCGAGAAGGCGATATTATCATTGGAGCTTGGGCCAAAACGGGCACAACTTGGACGAGTCAGATATTGACACAACTTGTTTTCAAAGGTGTTCAACCACAAGCTAATATTCATAGCATAGTTCCTTGGTTAGAACTCCAAAAAGGTATGGCGTTTGGTGGGGAAGTGCTAGGCTATTTAGATAAACTAGATCATGTTCGTGTGATCAAAACCCATTTACCATTGAATGCTATTCCTTATTCTCCTAAGGCTCGTTACGTTTACGTTGCTCGCAATGGAATGGATGCAGCTTTGAGCAAATGGAATCACCACAATTCATTGGTTGCAGCCGCTCGTGAAAAATTCTTAGTTGGTCCACCTGTTAGCTTCGATGTATTTTGGCAAGGATTTTGCACCTCGACTGGTCCCTATTGGGACTACTTTGAACATGTTAATTCTTGGTGGAAATATCGGCATGTACCAAACATTTACTTCTTACATTTTGATGATCTGAAACAAGATCTACCTGGATCGATTCGAAAATTAGCCGCTTTTTGTAATCTAGAGGTTGCAGATGAACAAACCTTTCAAACCATTGTTGATCATTGCACATTCGAATATATGAAGAAACATGAAGACTTGTTTACTCCACCTGTAGTGCCAGTCGGGTCCTTTATTCACCAAGGCAAAACTGGACGATGGGCTACTGAATTGAGCGCCGAACAAAAGAAAGAGTACGACGAAGTTTGCAAATTAAAATTCCCACCAGACTTGGTCGAATGGTTGAATCGACCAGATGAAAAAAGAGCAGTAAAAACTGCTTAAAAAGTATGCAACGATACCACTCAGACATTGTAAACTAACCAACTGCCTGGAAATTGAAGACTAATGAGACAATCCGTAGAATAATAATTAGTAAGTTTATAAGTTAATACTTATAAGCAACCAAACGCCACCACCTAAGTGGAACTTTGTGTCCGCATACTTATTTCAGAAAAGAAACTACGCATAAACTTTCTGAAATGTTGCTATCTCACACACTGTTCAACTAGTACCACGAAAGCCATCAAGTATGTTTGTTTTTCCGGTACGATTTTCCGAATTATTTAGAGAAGATAAAGCTGTTCCGTGTGTTACACTAAACCTTTCCAGCCTAGAACATAAGTTACATATGTATTTCCTGTTGGGAATAAACTAATTAGAAATTACCCAGCTATACTCTTGTGATTATCATTTATAGCTTGATCTCACGATAAAAGGGAAAGGATCCTAATTTGGTGAATGATGCATCGACTCACTCAAGTTTTAGAACTTTAATGCATCTTCCATATGAAACTTCACGGTTAGTCGATGCTGTGTGTGATTTTTTTATGTTTCCTTAAGAGATTTACTTGCTAGTCAGCAGTCATTGATTGACGTTTTGAATTCGGGTTATTATGGGTTTGGTGAACTCGTATTCTTATTTTAAGGATTTTACAACTTGAGAAGTTTACTGTAAAAGAATGAAAGCATCGAAACTCAGAGTTTTTCGTTAAAAATGACGGTGGCGTAAGATATAGAGACATACATGCGTAGTGGCGTGAAGAATATAAGAAAGATAACGAAAAAATGGCCAACCTTCCATTTTTTTTATCCATCAAGACAAAATTATGCGGTGATGGGTTGGTAGCTAAACGACGGTAACTCTTTTGTAAACTGAATAATCTACGCCACGACTCTTTCACCATCTCATGGGTTTCATCTTGTAATAGCAATG